TTTTTTTTTTTTGGTTCGTTTTGATACGTGGTTTGTTCCGTACCCGGGCCGAGGTCCCAGTAACACAGCGGATTCGATTCAGCGCCTGAATCGGGACGCGTTCTAATGCAGAGATGCAGAAAAGCACAGATCAATCGTGAGTTTCTGCACGTCTCCTCACAAACATGTCCAGATTCAGGCGCTTATTCCAATCCTCTTTCCTATCGGTCGTTGGGACCTTGCTCGACCAGCGACCGCTTTGTCAGGCCATTCGTAGCCCAGTAAAAAAAAAAAAAAAAAAAAAAAAAAAAGAGGAGCCGACTGAAGAAGAAGAAGAAAGACAAGCAATGGCCAATTGCTCTGCACACGCAAGTCGATTGTATTAATTAAATATGTGAAAAAACAATAAAAATACTAAAAATAATAAATCCGCAATGGTCGAATCTGCTGGCCAAGGACGTTTCACACGACGGCTATCCATGCGTGCGAATGCATCGGATCGGCACGTAAGGTTAAATTCATAAAGGAGAAAAATAAAAATGCTGCCATAGTAGATAGCCCCAGAATGGATGTGGCCTGTCCTCAGTGTCAGGAGGGGGGGCGGAAAGGAAACAAGAGGGATTTTTGCTGCTAAGTCCTGGCGCGAGGTCCCAGTAGCGAAGAGGGTTGGATGAAATACCTGCATCTGGATGTGAAGTATGCAGAGATGCAGAAAAACAGATGAATCGAGATTTTCTGCACCTCTCCACAGCCACGTCCAGATTCAGGTTTTCAATCCGCTTTGCTGGTGGGACCTCGCTGCTGGTCTGACCCTTTGACCGGAAAGGAAGGGGGGGGTGGGGTGCCCACTCGTTGCTCCCCAAATATAGAGCGGACGGTCATCACAGCTGTATTTGGGGCAACTTTCAGTCTAGATACAGCGATAATGACAGTACGTTCTATTCGGGTGAGGGCGGTAGGGTAGCAAGCGGCGGGATTGGCTCGCACTTTATCCAAATGATTATCAGCCATGCAGATTCTTTTTTTTTCTTCTTCTTCTTCTTCTTTTTTTTTTTTTTTTTTTTTTTTCTTTTTTTTTTGGTGAGAAATATCATCCTGGTCCATCCCCAGGAGGTGATACGAGCATCCTCCGGCGGATGGCGTCCCCATGCAGATTCATAGATCGTCTTGAAGGGTCCTTCGGGACATCGGGACAGTAAGAATCTGGACGGGTCCGTCGGGACATAGGTTGAAAAATTGGAACGATACGGAGGAGATTACCATGGGCCCCGCGCAAGGTTGACACGCAGTTAACAAAAAAAAAAAAAAAAAAAAAAAAAAAAAAAAAAAAAAAAAAAAAAAAAAAAAAAAAAAAAAAAAAAAAAAAAGACGGCTAAGATCAACTGCCTGCCCTGCGGCCCACTGTATCGATGCCGGGGTGCTTGAGCGATCTTCATTTATTTATTTATTCATTAACAATTTCACATATTTCTTGCAGGAATTTCGCGATAGTCACGAGTCTGAATGAGGCTAGTATCTGACTCGAACCGTCTACTTACCACCGGAAGGCACCGAAATGCTCTCTCTCTCTCTCTCTCTCTCTCTCTCTCTCTCTCTCTCTCTCTCTCTCTCTCTCTCTCTCTTGCACGCACACACACAGTGTGTGTTCGCGTCTGCGTGTCTCCGGCCCTCCCCCCGCCCCCCCCCCCTCTCTTACACATGCACACACGCCCAGAGTCCCAGACGCACAGATTCATCAATTTGTGTCCCTGTGTGTGTTTTCGGTGCTTCCGTTTGGAGGGACGATGGTCTCCTCCGTCCTCGTAATCCAATCCAATCCAATCCAATCCAATCCAAGGAAAGCCGAGTCGCTTTCCTTTCGATAAAAGAGAAGCCTTTCTTCGGGAAAGGGACGCGAACAGCCTTGAAGTTCTGAGTCCCGAAAGTGCGAGCCACGTGGCGTTTCGATGTGTTCGCCACGTGGCTATTGCAGCAACATCATGGTTAGCTGAAAACGAACGCACACAATGTCATCAGATCTGGCCTTGCCACGTGGCTGCTACGTGTCGAAGGATTAAAACAAAAAGAGCTCATTGTTTGCTGGAAGCACATGGCCCCCGCGCAAGGATGACACCCATAAATCGAGAAACGCAACCAAAAAAATAAAATAAAAAAAGGGGAAACTGCTCCTGGGTCACACTTTTAGTTCAAAACGGCAAAAAAAACACTAAATGGCAATGTCCTCGTCGTGGAAGTTCAAAACGGCAAAAAAAACAGTTAATGGCAACATCCTCGTCGTCCAAGTTCAAATCGGCAA